ATATATATATATATATATATATATATATATATATATATATATATATATGAAAAGGAATAATGTAATTTAACTTTTTACAAACCAATCATAAATCCCCATGTTTTGTCCTAACTAAGGAGAATTCTAGCAAGAAACATCCAACAATTGCAATACATTTTATTATATTGCACATTAACACAGCCTATCTTAGAAAATTTATCGACGACATTCCCATTATGTCACGCGACCCCGTCACGGCGCAGGTGTCTCTTTATCTTCCTTTCGCGCGCGGGAAACCGAATGACCGCTCGATATAAATTTGCACTCTCGTCGCCTGTACGATCGACTTGGCGAAAGAATACAAGAGAAGCAACTCCCGCGGAGAAGCAACGGAGTGTATACGGTGAATTGAGAGCGCGATAAAAAGGAGAATCGTCGCTACTCTGCAGAATCCGTTCCTGCCAAAGCGGATCGTGAGGACGGCGGGCAACGACGCGGAAGCGGGACCAAGCGGCGGGGCATCCTCGCAGAAACGCGAAGCGAAAGCGGAACAATTCCACCGGGCCGGCAGGAGCATGTCCGCGCCGGATTCCTACGACTTGCACATAAGCGGCAGGTAAACAAGATTGTCCTCACTCTTTTTCCCCGCATTCACGTTTCTCCCTCCTTCTTTCCCCTCGCCTATTCCTCCTTCGCCTCTCTCTTCTCTGTGTGGCCCGAATATTTTTCAGATATCCCATTTCAATGAAATTCTCGTTTGCGCGTACAATTAAGGTAACCAGACGTCCCAATTTTTTCGGGACAGTCCCGATTTTTCACCCTTTGTCCCGAATTTTTTCGAATGCTATTCAGGACACCGATTTGTCATCACTTTCAATGATTGTCAAATAATTTTCGGATTTTTTTACCTCCTCTCCCCGCTTCACACATTTATGAAGTGTCCCGAATTCAGGGCTGGGAAACCTGGTCACCTTACATGTACCGCGAGGAGAAACGAGAAGATTACTTATAAATGACATCTTCACAATACGCCCCGGCGATCGCACATCGCTATTCTCGACATTCTCGATACTTATTTCCGCGTGAGACTTACTTTCGACAGGTTAAAGACGCATAAAATGCGGAGCGATGTCGATCGATGTGTCCACAGCGGTTACTCGATGCAGAAAGATCGAGAATCAAGATGGTCGCGCGATTGTTAAATCGCGCTGAAAATATACGCCAATGTGTGAACGGCATCGCGGCCGAAAAGAACACGCTCTATGAGATACTTCTCTCTCCGTATCTAACAAACTGACGCAACCGCCCGAATATTCCGCATATCTCTCTCTTCCTCTCTGATTGTCATCGCATTTCTAATTCTCGTTCAATAAATCCGACGATCGCCCGATTCTATTGCTACTCGAACGAGTCGATGTTATTAGCTAATGTAAGAGACGTCGGCGCGACACGTCACGACAAGCACCATATATCGCGAGGACAAACGAGAAAATTACTTACAAATGACGTCTTCACGATACGCCCCGGCGATCGCACATCGCTATTCTCGACACTCCCGAGACTTATTAACGCGCGAGACGCACTTTCGACGAATAAAAGACGCGAGAAACGCGGAGCGATACGGATCGATGTGTGCCCATGGCTGCTGCTTGGCGCGAAAAGATCGAGTATTTCGCGCGATGCATTACCAACGCTTAGATTGAATAACCACGATGACAACCTCGTAGTGCGAAACAAACGCGATTGGTCTAGAGTGATTAGTAACTCGAGCAAGTGGTTGAGGCGTCCGCCGCGGCGCGCCGTACAGATCGCATCGTTGTAGACGCACGACCTCGTTCGCATCATTAGGTTTGTTCGAATTGCTTGTATTTTTCACGCTTTTACACCTAATGCTCGTTGCACACTAGTGCACCTCAAACAACAAATTTTCCAAAATATATTCTGAAGACATTTTCAGGACGGAGGGACGTCATCAGAGTATTCTTAGGACGTTCTTTGAAAGTGTGAATTGTCTGAAAATAGCTAATATCCAATAAGTTTATTCGCATTAATTAAACTTTTTACACTTTCACACTTAGTGCACATTAATTCTTTAGAGGTTCTAAAAATAACGTCATGATTTCCGTACGAGTGTAAGTGCAATTCTGATACACTTTTCACTCTTGCTTGGAATCAAATGTAAAAAATGTATTTACATTCGTAACACGAACGGAAATCATGGTCATTTTAGAACCTCTAAAGAATTGCATTTACACTCGTAACACAAACGGAAATCATGACGTCATTTTTAGAACCTCTAAAGAATTAATGTGCACTAAGTGTGAAAATGTAAAAAGTTCAATTAATGCGAATAAACTTATTGGATATTAGCTATTTTCAGACAGCTCACATCTTCAAAGGACGTCCTAAAAATATTCTGATGACATCCCTCCGTCCTAAAAGCATCTTCAGAACGTATTTTGGAAAATTTGTGTTGTATGAGGTGCACTAGTGTGCAACGGGCATTAGGTGTAAAAGTGTGAATAGTACAAGTAACTCGAACAAACCTATTGGCGCGTTCACACTCATACACTTTTGGCACTTTCGGCGCGCTAATGAATTTTTGGTATATGTGGTTGACAGCGCGCGTGTTTGCGATCTTTTCATGCCGAGCAACTGCCATGGATACAATGTTCCGTATTCCATACGTCTTTCGCTTGTATCCTGTAAGTCTCTTGCAGAAATAAGTATTAAAGTGCCGAAAACAACGACGTGCAAGACAGGACATATCGTAAGTACATTATTACGGAGTAATCTCCTCCCTTCTCGACACATACAGCTAAGATGACTAGACGTCTGATTTTTCACCCTTTGTCCCGAATTTTTTCGAGTGCTATTCGGGACACCGATTTGTCATTATTTTCAATGATTATCAAATAATTTTCGGATCTTTTTATTCCCCTCCCCTCGTTTCACACATTTATTAAGTGTCCCGAATTCAGGGCTCCGGATATGTTTGGGCAAACTTCCTCTGTGGGTGTATAAGTATGTCGCGTTTATTTAGATGCCCCCGTATAGAAGGTATCGCGGTGCGGCGACAGTTCGCGTTTCGTAGATTCGTGGATTCGATTCTCCGTTTAATAAATCAAGCGCTTCTCTTCGACCTACAAACGCGGCGCTTCGTAAATTGCCGTCGCCACTTGGAGAAAGGCTACATGTCTGCCCGGCCGCGTTAAATGGTTACATCGGAGGCGAGAATAATGTGTGATTCACCCTTGCATTACACGTCGGGGAAATAAATCGCGTTCCATGGCCGTTTGCGGCGATATAAATGATAATGGCGGCATAAATCATCTTAATCGGCGCTTGCACAAGCAGCCTAACAAACCATCCCTCTTGACACCGTCACCCCGCTTTATCCTCCGCTTCTTAATCGTTCGCTCATAGTAATACGCGAGTCATAACGAGAGAGAAAGAGAGAGAGAAGGAGAAATAGATAGATAAAGAGAGAGAACTCGCGCGAAAAGCTCGTCGGATGCGTTGATCGTTGTATTAAACGTCACGTAATTCGCATGATTGGCAGACAAGTGTCAGTGGAGAACCCATTGCCGCCGGTGACGGAGGCGTCGAGCCAGGAATCGGAAGTCGAGAAGCGGTGATCCAATCGGCGATAGAAAGAGTGCGCAGAGCGACCCTTTGATCTGCGAGCGGACGTCGAGAGACGGAGAGGCCGATTAAGAGTGATCGTCGATCAAGCGAGCCAACAAACGAGCGTCAGCGAGATCGTCGAACGCGAACCAACGAAAAATTAATCTTCCAGAAAACGTTAGATATCAATTCCACACATCCTTGTTACTTAGAACCGCGTTAGGGCCGCATGGCGTTGCCTACAATTTGCAGGTAAGCTCCGCGAGTTATTTACGTTGTGACACGCTGCGCAACGAGATTCATTACCGGCGAGGCTAGTAAGAACGAGAAGAGAAAGAGAGAGAGAGAGAGAGAGAGAGAGAGAGAAAGAGAAAAAAGAGAGAGAGAGAGAAAGTGAATCGAGCATCCATAGAAAACTGCTCTGCTGGATCTCGAGATTTATATCGTTGAAAAAAGGGTAACATCGCATTCAAACGTTTCATATCGTGTTATCGTACAACTTATATAGAATAGACTGCACTTTTATGGGGCAAGGCTGATGACAAGGCTGTGAGACAGAGAAATATGCTAAGTCAAAATGCTTTGTCTGTTCAATTTTTTTTATATCTCTCTTCGTTTCTATGATAATCGCTTTGGCTTTGGAATTTAAAAACTGATTTTTTTCAAAGGGGTGTTTCACTCCTAAAACTATTTTCTCACACCAACAAAAATAATCTCATTATCAGAATCTACTACTCTATAATTGTGCAAAATTTTATATTTGTTTGGTGATTTTTTGCGTTACTGTATGTTCCTTAAGTTAAATGCTCTCTCTCTCTCTGTCAAGCAGTTTTAAGAGGGGGCGATATTGGAAAAAGGAAAATGAAACATAGTGAAAGAAAGGGAGCATTGATCATGTGATAGCTTCTCTTCTTTCGTTCTCCTCAGTAACTAGACAATTGTACAAGGAAAGCATTTTGCTTTCTATCGCCCTCTCTTACTAATGCCTTCATCTCGCCTACAGCAATGCGCGCAGTCTATTCTCTATGTTTATGACCCATATTAATAGTCGTCACTTGAAACTTATCTCAGGTGAGACATTCTCTTATTCTGAGTAAAATCCAAGTTCTTTCAGTTGAATAATGATAAGTGTGACATTTATACCTGTAGTCACGATTCAGTCGAAAAACTTTTATCCAACTCTGAATTTAAACTTGAGCATCTCACTTGAAATTTGAGTTTCAAACGATGACTATTAATACGGGTCTAAATGTTGTCGGCGATAGACAGTTGTCATACCTGTGATCGTTGTTGTTTGATAGTGAGCTAAGAGAATCATGTTATTTGACATCAATCTCTATTGCACAACAGATCGTCATACAAATTAGGTAACACGCGAAATATAAAGTTGCTGTAGCATCTACTTTGCTATCGATTGGAATTGTCCTCACGTGGTAATGAAATCTGGCGCATCTGACGAATGTAACATTGCACTTGATACAAATGAAAAAAACGGAAACATGCTTATACATATCATGTATATGTAGTGATATACATGAAACCAAATCCTAAATGAAACGAATCGACGTTCATTTGCGCGTAATTAAACCGATCATAGCGCATTGGTTTAATTGAGGGCAAATGCGCCAACGATTTACGATCCTCCGTCACGTTTTCGCGTGAGCGGCCAGAAATTGAGGTAATGCCGTTTGCGTTGCCACGCCATTCTCTCCGGGAATGACGGCGACGGTCAAATATTTATGGACGATTTTGTTCGATATAGCGGTACACGACGTAGCGAGAGAATCCATTTTGCGACGTAAATTACAATTTAATCAGAAAGTTGACGGTACGAGAGGGTAGTGCTCGTAATAAAGTTTATCGCGTTAAGGTCACGTGTGTAAAATCACGGAAGATAACGAGTCGATAATGCATTTAATGCGGTGATCCGGTGTTAAGGCACGCCTCGCCGGCTCTTTCATTCCATTAATGTCCTAAAGAAAGCGTTTGTAAATAACTTTAAGGTTTAGCGCTGTGTATGCCGATCTAGCGTTCGGAGAGAAACACCGTAAAGCAAAAGAAAAAACAGACTTTATGATTTTCGTACGTTATCAAAGTAGCATATAAATGTCACACGAAAAAATGTATGATTTACGTGGCAGTTCCCCTTTCCCTTTTTTTGATAAAACTCGCGTTTCTCGTCACCACCCTCGATGAGAGAGCTCGAAACAATGTATGTTAAAATTCAAGGCGGGCGTTCGTTTCGCAGACGCTCGCGTGACTTATCAAACTTCCACGCTAACTTACAAGAGTAATATTCTATACAATTCGGCAAGGCGTAAATTAAAAAAAAAATACGAAACTTTCCAGAATTATAAAGCAGACAAGTCTAATAAGAAAACAATTTTTTATTGGCCCGCGCCAACTCGAAATCGACATTGGGGATAAAAAATAAATTCAAAATGTGAATGGTGATAAATGGAGAGGGGAATATTTTGGAAAATATAAAATTTCCGAAAAATCTGAAAATGTCATAAGGTAAAGTATTATCAAAACTAAAAAACTTTTGTTGAAAATGTTTTTCATATCTCTAGTTAGATAATAAGTTAGATAATATTTGCTTGTGAATAATATACGTATCGGTTTTCTTTCAAGGAACTTTTTATCCCTAAAATCAATTTCGAGTATCAAAAAATTATTTCCTTATATTAGATTTGTCTACTTTATAATTTTACAAAGTTTCAGATTTCTTTCTAATTTACGCGTTATCAAATGTCCCTTGTTAGACAGAATGGTGTGAAAGCGCAAAATATTTCATATGCTCGTGGTAGTTTTTTTAACATGACCGAAAATATAAAAAAATATGTGCAAACAATGCAATGAACTTTCAATGCCGGAATCTACCGGCGTTCCGGGAGCCAGTAATTTCACCACAATTTACATGTACATTTAATTTACATGTTAACGAGCAGTTACCGTAAAGTGTTTAATTACTGAAATGTTTAATTACGGCTTGAGATAAAAACAAGAATCGGGTGTGTTTTTGAAGTCGAATAATCCATTAATAATACCTTTGAAACGCACGCGAGAAAGGGAAACATTGTTTTCCAAACTGAAAATTTCAATTTGAACAATTTATGATTTTGGAAATATTTCCCCGATGGAAACTGGACGAGCGAGTGGTTCTCTCCCAAACTGTATCGGCGGATTCAACGATAGTGATAATAGATTAACGATCGTTCCGGGAATGCGAATTACTGTCGATATATAGATGTCAGACTTTTACAGTTCACTCGTCTATTTACAAGCCGTCGCATAGGTGTATATAAATGTAAAAAGGTGTACGTATATTGTATACTAAAGGTTATTCATTTTGTATGTACGATATTCGCGTATTTTTAAAAGTAGGCTCGCAAAAACGCGCGAAAGCCCGCGACACAACGACGCTCTTCTTAGGTTCTCGCCGTTAGATACAACGATGGATGTGAACGGGGCTCGTCTCTTTATTATTATTAATATACCTCAACGTTACGCAGCGCTCTCGCGCACGGCAATTTAAAACTCAATCTGAACGCTTCTCGGAAATGCATTTTTCCATGTTTCCATGATTGGATTTCAATCGCGACTCTTATTCATGCTTAGAGTTGGAAATCTCGCGAGTTCTCGCGAACTGAGAATATTTTTATCGAGCAATGAAACCTCTTCTTTAATCGAGACCGTCTCTCGTTTTCTTCCAAGACCTCTGACGTTAAAGCGCGGCACAACGGGCGGCTCGTTTGAGAACTTTCGATCTATCCATGCACGGGGCTTTTAATTCACGTTGTACAACGGCAAACCAATCGCACGACCAAGGAGAGGCAACCAAAAAGAGAGAGAGACTCGTGATTTCGTCGGACCTTATTGAGACACGGGGGACCACAAAACAAATGTATGAATATTTAAGAAGTAGCTTTCAGCGCTCACGAACACACGTGCACACGAGGGGCAGATAGATTCAGGACCCGATTCGTCGTGTTTCGAGTCCACCGTGTGCGCGTACATCTCGATCTCATTCCACGTTCGCCACGTGAAGAGACTGCGACGGATTTGTTAGTCAATAAGGATAATCGCTCTCGTTATTGTCGAGCGCTCGCGTTCTCATGACCTTCGTTCGAGAAGTCGCGGCGAGTCTATGCGAACCAACGCGTCACTCCAGCCTGCGTAGACCAGGAATATATGACGAGCCTTACGAGAGTGGCGAGCCGGTCGCCGCGGAGGAAATAAGAAAAACAAAAAGAAAGGAACAATATACATACACTTTCTAATTACGCGTTTGCATTTATCTACTAGATATACTTGGCGACTCATTATATAAATAAGGTCCATATATCGTGTCATCGTCGTCGTCGTCGTCGCGTGATTGTCGCCCCCGATGACAACTAGTCCCCGTTCGACCTCTTCCGAGGTCAGACGGGCATGTTGATCAATCAGAATGAGCGATGTGAGAATCTCCAGGAATCCTTCCATGCGGATCACAAGCGCAGAGACGGAGTGTCTACCGACGACGGACGCCTCGAAATCGCGTCGTTACGTGTAATATCAATTAGAGACGACAAAGCCACGTGACTTCTCCAATATTTCCTAGTGGAATGCCATCTGTGCAGTATAAGCTTTGCATTGCGTTAGACGATTTGATATTTTTGGCGACGTGCGCCTTTGTCTATTCGATAGATTTCAATCATTTATATGTCACTTTGAAACTTTTCAATGCGCGTTTCTACTTCTTGCAAACTTTCGTCTTTTGTGACTTGAGACTTTCGAGATACAATCCCTTTATAATTATAGTATTGAATTTCTGCTAATGGTAAAACGTGATAGGGCTCAAGGCTCTCGGTCTTTTGCCGCCGACAACGCATGCTCAAAATTCTCGCGCGCTATTTTTTTAATAAGAAAATTTTTGCGTAAAAAAACGCTTCAAAAATCAGCTTGGCACTACACTAATTAAGAGACGCGCTTCGATGCGAAACGACGATTAGTAGACACTCCCAGAATTGTTTTACGGGTATACAATTATCGTTATTTAAACGGTTGTAGATACACACACATACACACACACAAACACAGACACATATGCATACACGTATATATGCATACACACGTTAGTAGGTGTGTCTTACTTCGTACTCTCTTTATCACAAATTGCACAAAATATTTTATACCTTGTTCTAGACACGCACTATGTTTCTAAATCTCGCTGTAAAAAATGAAATACATATATATATATATATAGTACATACGCACTATGCCGACTAAAAACAAGTATAGATTACTATCGAGCGACTTAGACGTACACGATAAATCCGCACTCGATATATATCGCGACCAAAAGCTCTTGTGATGCTCAATTGAGGCATTGACTAGCTGATTAGAGAGTTTGATTTTACTCGACAATCACTATATTAAATCGCGATCGATAACTATACACACACACACACACACATATTACTTCGATACTTTTCTCTTACTACTCGTCGCCCTGTACTCGCGAAGTCCTTTTGTCGTCAATTTACGAAAGTTTACTCGACTGTAGGAATTCGTAGAAACTTTAGACTAAGAGATTACAATTTTTCATCTTTTACCACTCTTTCCCTTCTCGCGCTCCCTTCTCTTTCTCTTTTTCTCTATCTCTTAGATTAGTTAGGCATTTTAGTCTTATCCCGTATTAAACTCTCGAAATCTCAACGGCAAGTCGTGACTTCACAGTTCTGCGTGATCGCGCATTTACGGCCGAAAAATCTCATGCGATCTGTACTGAATATATTGATACTGAAATATTAGTCTTACCGTCAGATGAGGGGAGAAAGATTGCGACTTAATCAAAGTATACATATTTACGAGATAAAACAAATTGTTGAATCTAATACATCGACACGGACTGCACGATGCGATCACATACACACGCAGGCGTACACATTGCAAAACTCGAATAGCGAAATTAGCGACAAAGCATGCAATTGAAAAGAAATTCTGCACATGTAGATATAAAACGAGATTATAACTCGTTCCAAGAAATCTTACTATCTGCTATCTATGATGACTTCCACACGTAACTCGCTTCTAGTTACTCGCGATCGATTTTCCGAAGCTCGTCGTAGAGAAAAGGCATTTTTCTCTCATGCATGTCTATAACAATTAAGTGTCGCGATCGTCAGCGCACGTGCGACAAGTCTCTCTTATCTTTCCACTGATTCCACCTACCTTGTAAAACTCAAGTCGAATGAAAACCTCTCGCAATTTCTACTTTAATCTATACTTCTTGAGTGCTATACTTTTCTTTCCGCGCATACAAGATGTTGCGTCAACGTACACAAATCAGTATAACGGGTAAAACGATTTGCAATACATTTTTTATTTCTTTTAACCGCAAAAATGAGTGTAATTTGTTTTGCAAACGAGTATATTGCCAAGTTTGAGCTAAGTCTGTGTCTGAGTATGCACATTTGACGACGAAGCAAACAAACAACCCGTCATACTGACCAATAAATTGATGCAACACTCTATACATATATCAGTCTTTCATTAAACTGGTGTGGACCCTTATAAAAAAAATTAAACGGCCACTTCAGTTAGCCCTCCGTCATCTATACCCTTCTCGATAATATCTCCCTCACACAACACGTTATCGAATCGATGCGCAATGATGACCAAGCAGAGTCGTGAACAAACACATTCTTCAATCATGTCTCATGGACGACTCATATTTTACATATTGATGCCCGTCAAGCCACGAGAAAGCTATTCTGTCGTCCACAAGCGTATATCGGCAGTCTAATCTAATCTCGCGAGGGGTTCGACCGAAATTTCGTTTCGAAGAAAACTACCATCCTCCCTCTCCTTTTCCCGATAAGTTTGTTGAAGTTATAGTCATAGACTTACAGAATAGACTGCGCACTCCTATGGGACAACTAGTGACAAGATTGAAGGACAGAGATGTGCGCTCAGTTAAATGCTTTCTTTGTCATACAGTACCCAAGAAGGAGGCGAAACAAGTGAGACACAGTGAAAAAGGAGTGGATTTTGATCATGTGATCCCCACTAACTATATAATTAAACAAGGAAAGCATCTTACTCTCTAATGCTTTTTACTTACTAATGCTGACTTCATCCTCCTTACAGCAATGCGCAGTTTATTCCATGTAAGAATTCTTACATCACGGTCTACGCTATGTATCTATGAGTTACACTCTCGGTTCTGAAATCTGTTCGCGAACACGTTCGCCACTGATAGTGGCGGGGAAATTTCCGCGCGCAAAGAATTTCCCGCGAACAGATGATCAGAATGCGAGTCACTCTTGTTTGACAACATCGTCCTCATCTTATTCGACGACGCTTACACACAAACCGACGAACACTTCGCACCGTAAACGATACTTACGTCTGTGAGTGTTGGAGCATAATGGTGACACGACGATCCGATCTGCCGATTGGATTCCCTCGATTAAAGAAAGAAAAAAAAACGAAAAAAAAAACTCGTAGCTAGGAGAAGAGACCGTGATCTTATACAAAGTAATTAAAGTTACTCGAGCGTAATTGCATCGTGACCGCCAATGATCTAGGTAAAGCGTGAAAACTTGCCCGTTGTGCGCCCGTTGGGCTTCTTATTGTAAATTTACACCACATAAAATATATATACATATATATTTTACTCTCGTATACATATTCTGTTATCCGCAGAGATAAGCTCTTTTACTAAATAAACCAAGCGTTCTGCTCGTGTCAGAAGCGGCAGAAAAAAAAAACACAGAAGAAGTGAGAGAAGAAGAAGAATCCCCATCCCTCTTCGCGCGCGAGTTTCATTTCCTTCCTCCCTAAATATATAACGCTCGATGAAATGGCACGTGCGCGCTATATAAACGTCGCAAATAGGATAACCGTTTATTTATTCAGAGAGTGGAAAACCGTCACTGCGTCTCCGAACGCGCGCGTCGCGTTGGTGCTCGAGGAAACCCGGGAAAACTGATCGACGCGTGCAATTCCGTCCGCCCGATTCCCGCGGCACGACGAGTCGCATCTCCGCGCAAACGATTTTTCGGCGACACCTTGACCCGCCGTGAAAAAATTGATCGACGAGCGAATATCGCTGCTGGGTATCGCGCAGCGAGGAGCAGAGACGGTCCCGGCCGCGAAGCAACCATGCGTGCCGCGACTATCAATTCCGTTGGGCAACCTGGCGACAGAGGCGCAGGTGAAAGACAATGTATGTGCGGAGCCCGCGAAACCAATCGATCGATGGTAGTGTGCACGCTTCTTACGCTGTTGGATCGCGCATTAGTATAAAGGGGTTTTGAAATCGGCAGAGGCCTTCAGTCGATCGACCGACCCGCCCGAAGAAATCGCAAACCGCCGCCCCGGGAAGCACACGAGAAGCATGAAGCTGCTGGAAAGCTACTGCCTGCTTGTTTGCGTAAGTACAATCTCAACGCATCGCGACCGATCTCCCGATTTATTGTCGTTGTTATTATTATTACTATTCGCGAGACGATTGCGAATTGCTCTGCGCGACCTTGTGTCCGAACAAGCACCGACGCCTCGTGCGAATACTAATTGATAATTTAATGTGCGTGCAAACTGCGTCGAAATTATTTGTGGATTATAAAGGTAGCTTCCGAAAGTTATTATTGCTGAATTATTTGCCACCTTTGCTGAAGTTACACTTACGATTTTGCAATATGTTCGCGAATGAGTCGACGATCGCGAGGGAGGTTCCGTGCGTGAACAAAGAGTGAAAATCACTCTTGAATAACATTTTTTCATCATTCGATAACGCTTGCACACAAAAATCAAGAGAGGTGATAGCATGCTTCGCGACAATTTTACAGGGTAAATCTGAATGTGCTGTTTTTTTTCAATATCAGAGAAAAAGAGATTAAAGGGATAAAATATTGTGGTCAGCCAACTCCAACACAATTTATTCTTTACTTCTTTTGCTTTAATATAAAAAAGAACAAAGATATTTCAGAATCTAACATTAGGTGACTCACCCTGTATGTAGCATACAAAAGTCTCGCAAGAGACGCTACCATTCTCAGTAACCATGCTAGCAAACGCTCAGTAGCTATTTGCTTCCAGAAGAAAAAATTCGTTCTTAACAAAAAAATACTCGACGAAACAGAACTCGATCTTCTTCGCGGAAATCCATACAATGGAAATTTCTACTTTCCGGGAACTATATGGATGCATAAGTTTGATTATCGAAGACGGGGTACCATTTCGCCGAGCAACCCACGATCTTCGAGTTCTAATCGCGCGAAAAAGGAAACGTCACACGCGACGAAGTCTCGATTATGATCATTACTGGCTTGTAGTGACGGGTTTTTGCCAGTGAATAGCGCTTATTCTTAATCAGAGCGTAAAAATTGTCAATTGCAGCCGCGCGACTTGTAATTTTCGTGAAAATGAAACTACCGCGCGACGCCGCCGGTAGATTCAGCGAGAGTATGTCGTAACGTACTATTATGTGTTGTATCACCTGTCCTCACCACATTACAACATCATAGTTCCATAAAATTCACTTCGGGAAGAGTACACTCAACTGTTGAACGATTTTCCAATTCTAATTGCCATAACCTTTACGTCTTTCTTTTTCTTTTTTATTTTTAACAAAAGCTATATATGAAAAGATCGGTCGGAACAATTGAAATCAAGTTGAGCGAACTCTCTTTGAATTTTCGACTTGTGTATGGCAAACTATAATAAATAATCTTTCAATATAATTTTAATGTTTTTATAATTTCTTATTTGTGTTAAACAAGCTAAGAAAAATGAGTTCATTATGATGTTGAATTTGACTATCACGCAAACGGTAACCAAATGAGTTGTCAAGTGTAGTAACGAGAGAGAAGAGTAAGAGGTTTAACTTAACTTTCCTCCTGAGTTGAATAGGCTGCATACATTATCAAGGAGAATAATTTAATATTTTTAAAATTTTTCATCCAGAGAGAAACGATATACATACACCTGGGCAGATTATTGATTTAAACAGTGCCTATTCAGTTTACTAACAAAAAAATTAATGATTTCAAATTAACAATGGAATATCATAATAGCTGACAACCAAAGATCTATCAGCAGTCAGAAAACTCTAAAAAAGACAGATCTATACACAGTCAGATTCCAGTACACACGGCCGCATATTATATAAAGCTTCAAGCGGTGAAGCTGCGTTTAGATTCGACATATAAACTATTTCATCATTACACGAACACAAGTCAACAAAAGCAACAAACACAAACACAGTACTACACAAAGAGAGCAACAAGCACAACAGAAAATTCTACTAACTTACAAAAATATAAAGACTCTAAATATGTACAATAGAATCACTAATAGGGTTTGTTGAAAGGCCCAGAAAGGATCCAAAACGTTCGTATGAATTTATTGTAATTTTGTTAATATATAAAAATTTTATGAAATATATAAAATAATTTTGTTAATGTATAAAAAATTTTTTGTATCGCAATTATATCGGCTTATTGACTCTTATTTGCCTTTCAACGAACCCTATTAGTGATTGTATTCTACTAACTTTTTACACACAGCTCTTCGCTACGAGAGTGCAACCCAGGCCGCAAATAACGAAGCTGTTCCCGGTGGAGGAACTGTTAGCGTATCATGAGCAAGCGAACAATATTACGAAGCCGCTGGTAGACAAATTTCTGGGGAAACTACGCACCACTTACGACCTCATTTTTCGTCAAGCCGGCAACACCAGCCTGGAGAAGATCCTGACGAAGAGCGCGTCCGATTTGCAATCTCTTAGACTGCACTGGGCCAATCAGATTAACCAGGGCAACTACACGGATCTCAAATATCCCAACGACACGTTCCTGGATCATGTGAAGTCACTATCGATACCGAAGCATCACGAGAATCAGAGGAACGCGAGCGGTCTCCAGAAGGATTCGTCCGTCAAAATAAAATCGACGATCGAGAGGAACGGGAATAACAGGAATCTCGCGAGCTCCAGCAAGACGAAAACGCTGAACGACAATCGGCTGAACGACGTACAGCCTTTGGGACTGCTGGAACTGCAAGATGAAGAAGTGCCGGATGCGAGGGCGGATGTGGAGATCGTGACGCCGGGAACGACCATACGACTTTCCACAACAGTGGGTCAGCAACTGATCGAGTGGCTAGGCTCCATCTTCGGCCTCACTTACAGTATTTACACGAAATTATCGTCCGCTGCCTGCGGCCACGAGAAGGCGACGCACTGATATTGCAGCGACACCGCGCGAGAAATATATATAATACATCCAGAAAATATATCATCTTTAGCGGAATGCTCTTATATATAACTTCAAGAGGATTCAAAAAACAAAAAGAAAATATCCTAAGCACGGTATTCTTAAAGTTGGAGGAAAATCTCGGATTTTTTTCCTTTTGATACAAAAGGTAAAAATTTTCGTTTAGAATACGGAATTACATTAGATTACACTTTGCGACCAAAGTTCTTTCTTTTGGGTGTTGGAGTATTTTTCTTTTGGTTTTAGAAGAATCCTTTTAAGGCCACATATAAGAAAATTCCACTAAAAATGAAACTATATTTTTTTCGAATGTATATATGTATACATTTTTGAATATATAAAATGTATTTAAAAATTATATTCAGATTAGAAGAGCACAAACGAAAATGTGAGACGAAGACAAAAAGAGAGACATATATATTTCTGTGTCTAGATATCCCTTTGTAAGTTTAGATAGTCTAAGTACGTAAAATGAAACACATGCATGAAACATCGAATTTTATACTTATCCGGTGTAAAGAAAGCACTTCTCTCATTTTGAAAAGCGAAATGAGGACGTCGCATTTGTTACGAGACCGCACGGGCGCCGGTTAATACGATACAAGTGTAAAAATTGCGAGAATGTCGAAATGTCGAAATTCAACCGCGTTGCGGTGTATTTAGTGCTAAACGCGCGGTAAAAATACCGCAGAGACGTCCGTAACTTCATATCTCTGTACTGTTACGTCAAATCCCGCGCGCAACACGCTCTCAAAATGTTCATAGAGGGAAACAAATAAAATTCATATTACAACGCTTTTCACATCTCACCGATTTTCCAATTTAACGGCGCGGACGAGACTTGATTGCACGTATGAGATACGATCATGCGTTGCATCATACCCTCGGAAGTTTCGAGCGCTGAGTCTCGAACGTAATGCGTATAACGCACCTGTCTCTACGATGAGAATTTAAACCATAAGATTTATGGGCTTTCTACAGTACATTATTAGTCATAAGCCGCAAGTGAATTGACCAACCACAGTTGATTATTCTTGAAGATGATAGATGGAAAATTTGGTCAATTCGCTTATGATTTATAACTAGAGTTCTGAAGCATGAAAAAATTTCCGGTAAAACTGGAAAAATTGCAGTTTTTTTTTTTCGGAAAACTTTCCTTTATTTTTTCCAAAGAAAAATATGGCAAATATTTAATTTTTTATTCCTGTATGTTTTTTTGCTGCACATATCAAAATCTTAGAGACTGCAGAAAACTACTGTTCTTTATATTGACATAAACTACATCACATGCTGTAATATTATTATATATTGTGTTACATTTGATAAAATGCCGAGGTACTTTGTCAGAAAGAAAAAGTCATCTATCAAAAATTTCTTAAACTATATTCTTATTGTAAAACGGGCTTTACTCTACTATGCTATGACTTTACATGCTGTGAAAAAAGTAAAAAATCTCCCTTTAGCTTTAAAAGGGTGAATTAAAAGCAATATAATAAAAAAAATATTTTTCATATTTTTCCATTTTTTTCGGAAAATTTCACGGAAATAATTTTTTTAGAGAACTTCGAACCCTACTTAACTTTATGCGATCGTGAGAACACGAGAATGAAAACACGCTGCGTGAGATGTTATTCGCTTCTTTTATTCAAAAATAGCTCGATCTGAAAAATACATTTGTATGTATTCCGTAAATTCACAATTCGTGTCGCCCCTTCTCTCTTATTGGCAACGATTATAACAATTCTAGTCGAATCTGCTGAGTGACGCGACTTCTAGTGGACACACATATACACACACACATACATGTCGCTTTTCTTTCTTTTTCATTAAGGTGCGATCATCACGCGTCATCTTGCACACGTGCCTTTGTCTGATCTTAATGAGAAACCGCGAAAGTCACTGTCTCATCTCGAAAAAGACGTTTGAGTCGAGGCAAAACTGTCATCTGATTCGAGCAGAGCGACTTATGCGCGAAGAGGGTGCAGGGAGGAGGGCGGGGGAGGACTCCGACTCCGATAAATGACCCTTAGAATACTGCTGTTTCACACGCAAATGTGAAAGTCTTTGGTTGTGTCGCACCGACACGAGAGTCCCGTACGTGTCGTATTTACTATTTTCTAATCTCTTACATCTAACGCACAGATCCGCTAAACGCACGCACGCACGCACGCACACATGACACGCACACCTGATCAGCGTGCGCGAGAGAACGTTAGGAATACTCTCTCTCTCTCTCTCTCTCCAAACGATTCTCGGGCATGCACGATGCGTATGAACGATTCCTCATGTATTTGTCGCTAATACTTATCCATACAAATAAGAGTCGATTCGTCAAGCGGGCGGATAGCGTAAAAATAATGTCAAGTGCGAACGACTGTTCCTCAAGGCGCGAACCGTCGTCGATCAAATCGTCTCATCGATCGAAATCGAAAACAATCGCACATGTATCATCCCGTCGCACGAGTAAATCTCCGTAAGCTATCACAGTTTTTGTGCTATCTTAGGACCTTTTGCTCGAAACCGAAGTTGAAATGCATTTTAAGAAGAAGAGGATATGCGAGAAAATACGATAAGTGATCCTCTCCTTGCGAATAATTGCGAAACTTACAAACCTAGATGACCGTTATAAATTAATGCATAACTTTAAGTTACGCCACTCAAAAGGTCGATTGCTAATCTCGATTGGATCGATGTGTTCACTTGTTATATTTTTAAGTATCAACCAGCGACGATGTCTAATGCTTGAACTGTAAAAATCAGCCTTCAAAAGTAATTAAAATACGTTTAAATGCTTAAAACATAGAAATATATATAATAAAAAAGATGGTAAATTGTGTCCGAAAAGGATGAAGGATTAAAGACGATAGAGGGGAGACCGGGGCTGGATAACATTTTTCAGAATTTCAACTGTACAAACATGATGGACAACTTTCCTCATGTTTTATGCCTATAACGATATTGTAAACCCTACATTTTCTTCTATAATAATCGAAATATGAGTGTGTTGCAACGTGGCCATCTTACTGGTCAAATCGGCTAACTCGGGGTAAGAAAGCCACGTATCAAACATGTATCCAGATTAATAATTCCGGAGTCTTCACGAGAAGTCATTAAAAGTCAGTTCTGCCGATCTTTAAATAGTGGCCAACTATATGTCTGTATGTAACTCACCCATATACATACTCGATTTCAATGAGTTTAAAAATGAAACTTGCTTTTGTTACTAGATATGAGAACATTGATATCAAATTATAAAAAAATTATATTAATAACATAAAATACAATTATATAAGCTAATGTATCGAGATATTACAGAAGAAAATATACAGGAAATTTACAAGATCGCTGCGGGAATAAAAACATAGAGGAAAACTGTCTTTATCATATTTGCACAGTTAATCACAATTAGTTGTAATATTTTATATACACATATATATATACATATATATATATGTACAAATTTATTATAATTATATTAATAACAGATTTTGAGATGCTCGAAAATGTACTTTGCTACTCTTAAACTAAATTAGTTGTCTCTATTTTTTAACTATAATATAATCTTGATTTTAATAAAATTCAGTAAAAAGTATCTATACTATAAAAAGGAAATTTTGTGGTTTCACTTTTCCACTGTTCCTCTCATGAAATAAATACATAAATAGAACATATGGACGACATATCCTTTATACTGCCAATTAGCCCCGATCTCTTCTCGATTTGGATGGTTAAAAGGTGATTTGTAGTTGACAGACCAATGCAAATCACTCGAAAAAATGTATCGCTTAAATCTGTTTACTGCACGGAAAAAAATGGTCGTGTTCACCAGAAAAATAGTAAAATATGACATAGCTTTTTTTCTGACTTCAAGAATCAATCCTTGATTGCATTGACCTACCGATTTGTTGCCTTAAAAATGCATCTTTCACGAATTGCAGTGCTAACGAATGATGTCGCATAGATCAACATAACCAAGAATTAAACCAAGAAATAAAAGCTACGCCATATTTTACTATTTTCTAGTTGACACAATCATTCCTTTTTTTTCTTGTGTGTGACACAACATTTTCTCGCGCTTGAGAACACCAATTTCGGATTGCTGCGAGGTAAATATCTCATACATGCGTTTCGGAATACGATTCTCGACCTCCATTGCGTCAACTTAGATAAAAACCGCTAAACATTATTTGAGGTATCTGCGTTAGGAATACTTTCTTCCCGGAAATTCGATCAAAATGGTTAACTTCTGCTATTCTCGACACAACGGACAGATCGGATATCGAGATTCGTCCAATTGGATATCTCCTCTCATTACTTAAAACGTCTACATCTATGTACATAATTTAATTTACAAGTATCAGTAACGAAATTACTGGCAGTACACGATGTGTACATTGATACTAAAGTGCCAAACTCGCGAGTATCGTGCTGTTATCGTGTGTTCCCGAGATCCGTCGATATCACGTTGAATGACCGGTTACATTCGCTCCACGTTTCACCAGTTTCTAGTTAAAATCGAAAAAAGCGCGCAACGAAAAATTGTCCGATACGATAAAGCACGAGAAACTCTCGAATTTACGCACCGTCAATTTTTTTTTTTTCTTTTTTTATCGCTCATTCGACGTGGACATGCATTGTCCCAAAAAAGACAAAATCTCGTTGTTCAAAAAGTGGAACAACTTTCCAAAATGTTATAACTCCGAAATCGATATAACGAGAAATTGTTACACTTTGAGAGTTTCGAGATTTTTCAGAATAATGCATACCTATCAATCATTTTTTCGAGCGACACGTTATTCTCTAGTGGCAGATTGACTTCCCCCAACACGCATTTTCGCATTATGAATTAATGTGAAATTTAATTATTTACGCGACTTTTCAACCTACTTATCTTACTTATCATACTTACGCTTTACACGGAAAAAGTTCTCCCGGAAAATCTTAGCATTTCTAAATTGAAAAACCATACTGGCATGTTCGGCTAGGGTATACTCATAACATTAGAAATACTTGAAAGTGATACAATATAGATGCATAGATATATAAGATTAAAAATCGTAGGAAATCTTAGCGGAAAATGTCAAGGCTTATATGATGCCTAATGTGTGTTTGGTAAATTTTTATACAAAAAAATTAAAATGACGTGTCCGAACAAACTTCTAGTTAATTACCGCAATATATAAAATTTAGCTTATGAATATATGTATAGTCATAATTGAATGAATGAATATAGTTAATAGACTTCGTATGAATATATCTCAGTCGAGCGCGATACAGTATGGTATATTATTAGACAAAAATCTCCCCCGTATGCTTGTCTTATCTAGTTTGCAGTACTTGTCTACTTAACTGAGAGCAGACCAATTTATTAATGAAATTTATCACGAGCTCAGCGGTTGTGATTTTGCATAAATGGACTAGAATCGTTGGGAAAAATTACGACCGCTAATTTAAGTGAGACCGAATAATGAATAGACACGCGTGAATCAATTTTGATGATAATCAAAAAATCAGATAACCATCAGTCTATGATGTATGGCGTGTTTTAGAATTATAAGTAAAGAGACTTATACTGCAATTCTAGACAAAATCGTAAAATTCGTAACTTGTTCTCGTAAGACTCGTAAGAATGAGGAGATCTGCAATTCTATACGGACCGCATATCATATAACTCGTAAATATCTACAATTTTTTTTTTTTCGTAAGCTACGACTTTACGATTTTACGATTTACTCGTATATTTACTTAGAATTGCAGCATTAACTGGCTAATGGAACTTGAAAAAAAGACAAATAAAAAACTGCTAATAAATATAGATCTACAAACTATTCGTTTTCGAGATATTCAATATTTTCATTTGCATATAAAGCAATAGTTCTCTATACAATTGCACATACCGTGGAATCATTAATACCTCGAAAAGTATCAACGTAATGTGGAGAACGAGAACCGTATTTCGCAATGTGTGTTGTACGAGACAATATTGAATCTGATTAGCATGATCTGATTTATGTGTGAGACAACCATACTATTTTTTCCGTGATATGAAAATAATATTTTTACGCACGAAAGAAAACCGTGTCAATAAATAAATTTATATTTATCGTCTTTGATTTTTTATCCTTCCTAAAATTGTTTCCAATTTTAATCAATGATGATTAGATTTGTCTGCGGTCCGAACTGTGAAGAATAGTGGTTTGCACTTGACATTATTTTTATAATATCGGTTCGCTCGTGATTTAAATTTGTACACAAAAAAAACTGCTATGATTGCTACAATCACATATTTCCTATAGTTAGAGAAAAAAATTTATGTGAACTCAAGTCTAGTACATATTAATATTTTGTTACGGCAACCATATTTAGCCAAGAGATATCCCAAGTGTTTTCCCTGTGTACGGATAGCTATTAATGAAATATCTATGAAGATTCTTGTACACGTATATATATTACTGTATATATACAACATACTACATACTAGTACTAATATTGATATAAAAAAAAAATCAGTGTAAAACTCATAAGAATCGATTCGTATTGCTTACACGCACGTTATAAAGTTCAACTCATAACGCGGTAAAAATTAAAAAATATTAGAAAATTACAATCTGCTTAATTATGGCAATTTTCGGTAAGTATTGATAAAAAGAGAGTCAGTTCCAATGACCTTGACCCATGTTGTAGAGGTTATCGTTCTGAGTAACGTGCAAAAGGTTTTAACCGTCGGTCATCGTTTATTAAAAAGTTATTGACAAAAAATGTTTTTCTCCATGTGTTTTTCCGTATTTTTCTCCATGTGTAAACAGCCGTTGTTATTCCTATTGCTTTCACATCACACGCAATGTGACTTCGCTCACGGCTAAGAATATTTCGGAGAGTTCTAATTTCTAACGTCTCCTTTCGTTTTAACACTTACCTTCGCGTCACAGAAATAATTAATAACCCTCATTTTCAAGAGATCAATATAATCATACAAACTAATAAAAATAACAAATATAAGAAATTGAATATATCTCGAAACAATTAGTTTGTAAACTAAATTATGTTTATTGAAGCCTTCGTTTATTTTTTGCGAGTTTTATTAGCCAGTTAAATTCTTTACCTGTGGGTAGCCAAGTCTGTCTTATATTGCCCAGATGCCCGAATGTTCGGGTATTTCTTAGATTACCCGGGTACTCGGGTACCGTGATTAGTGTATATAATATTTTAGAGAACTAATATACGAAATCAGCCGCTATAAAGATTAATAAAGGATGGTAGATGGGTATTGCTCAGTGCCGTTGAGTGCGACACTCGACTTGGTGTTAATGTCAACTTGTAACATCGGTAAACGTGATTTATCGATCGCTAACATTTTCGCACCAAGATGGAATGAACTAAAGCTCGATAAGAGCCTGAAGGTTCAAGTTCCCACGATTGTACGAAAGATACAGATTCGGGAGTTTGCTAAAGATTAAAGCATCTAAATTTTACGAAATTATTGACTAAGTCTTCACGTTTTGACAATTAGTCACACGTTCAGGATAAAATTTTACGGTAAGATTCCGCGTCTTCGTTGAAACCGAGATGTCAATATAGTAGCAGGAATCAATTCATATCGCGTGTGCGCCGTGGTAAATTTCAATTCGCAACACACGCGTTGGGGTTAAAGAATTATTAGAAAATTGCATTCAGCTTACCTACGGCAACTTCCTCCACGTTTACAACAACCGTTGTAAATCCGCATCTATTGCTTTGGACTTCGCTTACGGTTAAGACGGCATTATGTATCTTATGTTTTCGGGTAAGATCTCATCTGCACTAACATCGTCTTGCTGCAACATACTGCCCTCCCTCGTCATTTGCTCCTTAAGCGAAGACAACGTGTGCAATATGTTCGGATCTTTCGAGAAGAGGTGATTTTGGAGATTTTGAAGGAGAACGGTCTCCGGTATTTGAGACAGGATGTTTTCTTGTTTCGGCATGCTATCCTTTAAAACATATTTCGTCTCTTGCTTGGCCATCGTCGGGACATCCGCGCTCCTGTCGAATGAATCCTTCTGATCGATGTAAAAGGTGTTATTCTTCATCTTGTTTTTCCGCATGCTCGAATGTGTTTGCGTATGCTTGTTTAAATGATCCTTGCGCGAGAACGCCTTGTGACATACCGGGCATGAGAAGTTCTTATCGCCCGAATGGATAACGAAGTGCCTCGTCAGATGTTCGTTTCTCTTGAACGCCTTCTCGCACATTGTGCACTTGTAAGGCCGCTCGTCCGAGTGGCCTCGCATATGTTGGTCCAAGTGCTCTTTCCTCTTCAATAGAGCACCGCATTCCTTGCATTCATACTTTCGCTCCTACAACAAATTTTACTCTCGTATTTTATACTATAGTTGGTACATCCCATTATTGATTAATACATTACAGGCGAATCACAAAAATTCTCGCGTTTCCTGTGCTAAAAAGTATGAGGCGTGTCGCGAGAATTCTGTTCTAATATTCAGTTGGTACAAAAGATTTGTCATTTTCCTATTAATTTCTCATATAAAGTTTAACTATTAAAAGGAAAATAAAAATGTCTAAAGAAATATCAAGTCGATGTTGCTCATTTGACCTATAAAAATTACCGTGCCTTCTAGATAGGGCAATTTCTTATTTTTTATTTGATCAAGGGTTTTCCAAAAATTTTAAATTTTCTTATTTGGCAAACGTAACAAACTTTTGCAACAACCTAATGCCTAGCCATTGAGCATGGCTGACAGCATTACTGGTCCGCAATGTGTTAACATTTAACAGTAATACGCACCTGTATGTGTGCCTGTATGTGCCTCTCTATATCCGCCTTGTTAGTATAGCCCAAGTTGCATTCCGCGCAACAGTAATACGTCGATCCGTCTACACCGACGCTGATCTTGATCTCGCCCATTTTCGCCCGGAATCGCGACTTTCTCTCAATTTTCGGCGAGTCAGTTTGCACTTGCTGTTCTACCTTCACGACAGACTGCGGATTAATGTCGTTCTCTTGCTCGTTCTCCAAATGTATATTCAAATCGAGCGGATTAATCGGCACCAACATCTGATCCACGTTCGTAAAACTGCTGCTATTTTGCAGCTGAGTATTTCGGAATACTGGCACATTGGGTATATTTAGAATGCTCTGCGGATGCTCCCCTTTTTCTTCATCAGTCTTCTCCTTCTTCAGCTGCAGCTTTACCTGTTCTTTCACCATTTGCATCCTTATTGCAGGTACAGCCATAGCATGAAACTTATTAAGGTACTCAGTCATGGCATTAGCTGCACTACACGACAATTGCTCTTGGTATTGAGTCTGTGCATCCTATAATACAAATATAATTCTATAATATAAATATTCTTTTATTATATCCACATCCATATGAGTAATATATAAAAATAAGAAAAGGAATAAATCATGTATTGTATCCAAACTTTTCGGTCTTTCAAACTGAATATTAGTTATCAATATTAAATTTCGTATTAAGTCATTACTTTTGATATGTTCTCAATCAGATATTCAGATTTGAATTTAAGGTTAGATACATAATTTTATTTTTTTATTTTTATTATATTATACATTATATTTTTAAGTTCTGTTTTTTTTTACAAATAATTTCATAAACTTTAGACTGAAACAAGTATATATTAGATCTGTTCTTTTCCAAGAATTTTTTGAATTGATATATACTGATACGATAAGTTAGAGTGAAACAAGTATATTTTGTTTCGCTCTGACTTATTGCACCTGTGTAAACCAGTTCAGAAAGTTCTTTGAAAAAGAACAAATCTTTAATCATGATTTAGTTGAAAACTCATACACATCTAACTTTAAATTCTAAATATCTAATCTGAGACAAGTTTCAAGTAATGTAAGTAATGTAAGTAATTAATATAAGTTGAGTGAACTAGTAAACTCTTCAGTAACTTATTATCCAGTTAAGCATTAAATTATTTTAATTACATTGTAATACTATAATATTTAGCTATTTATATGTCCTTTTCTCAAATAAAAAAGCATAGAGGATTGCAAGACCAAAATAGGATCAACAAAATCTTCAAAAGAAAGAGAAAGAAAAGAAAAAATATCAAGTTCACTGGAAGATGTTACAACAAGAATTACCATTTTCTCGCTGATAATTGCTGAAATAGAAGTTTGAGCCTCTTGAGACTGCATGTTCCCGCCACTGTTATGCCCCGCAAACGTAGTAGCGACGTTCGAGTTTGCTCGGCTAACAGCAAAATCTAAGAGCGGCGACGACGACGTGACTGGCGTAATCAGGTTGACCATCTGCTCCTCGGAGAAGCTCATAATGCGACGTATAGCGCAGCAAACAGAGCTGAAACGCGCGCGTCCCTAACCTAACGATGCGATCGGCCCCGACTTGTTGGGATGGAAGCAAGCCTGGTTTGGTTTGATTAGATCAGGTCAATTCAGGTCAGGTCAAATCAGGTTAGGCCAAGCCAAGGCCAGATCTCCTGCTATATCCGGTGTTGAATCGAACGTCACCGGTGATTTACGATTCCGCGGCACATCAAACGCGAAATTTAACCGTTGGCTTTAATTAAATAAATATCGTTACGTACGGAACGCACCGCACGCACCAGCTCACATATGGCTGCGTCCCAAATAACCAACACGAGAGCGCGCGCCATACGAAAGTCCCTCCAATGATGTCATGGCGAACAATCGTGAATTTTGATATCCCTAGGAATACAAAGACTGTGTTCCGAAATTCACTGCCAATACTGAAATTCTATAGTATACGTGACATGAATTATAGATTTTCAGTACTCGCAGTGAATTTCGGAACGTAGCCACAAAATTGGGTACTTTCCAACTACATACACTGGATGCTTTTTAATTGCTTAACACATCTTGACACATACGTACACAAAACCAGTTTATTGATCGCTTATTGATATTATCTAAAATATCTTGTAAGATAATATACAATCAATAAACTGGTTT